TAATTAAAATAATATATTTATTTATCTTAAATCTATAATATAATTTGTATATCTAAATATAATATTTATTTATATATAATTTATTATAAATTATAATTATATATAATAATTATTTAGCGTATGCTAAAACATTAATTTGATCAAACTTTCAATCCGAGTTGGGGCATAGATAAAACCGGATCAATTCTTCCTTCCCTTATTCACCCCTAGTTAGGCACTTCATGTTTTACCGATTATTTACATCATACCAAAACATAAAATAAGTAATTTCGCTTATTATTAATAAAAAAAAATAATGGCAAATAGTATATGTATAATATTAGTTAATAATTTTAAGAGAAAGGACCCTAGATGTAAATTTGGGTGGAATATATAATCTGAATGCCATACCTTGCTTGTAATTTTAATGAAAATCGACAAATTTTTATTTAATAGAGATCAATATATTATTGATTTAGGATGATGAATAGTTGCTGAATGGCATGGATGCAATTGACAAGTTTATTGCTCAAGTTTTATTATTGAGTGGGAATAATGATTGAAACTTCGTGTTGATTCTAAGTAGCGATTTGGGCCGGGATGAGACCAGGACGGGCTTTATAGTATACTGGCTGTGCTGCCACAATGATGGGCTTCTCATTTGAATCGATTTTTTTTTAATTTTTCTGGACGATTTAGATAACAAACCGTACATGAAATACAACCTCCTTTTGTTGTTGAATTATACTCCATGGAAATGTGTCAAGTAGCATACATTCATTCCTATTCATATTTATCGTTATTGATTATCTAATTATGAATAAACTTCCAGTAAATTATTGAAATTGTAATTAATTTACTTTTGGTTCTTTGGAACCTTCGAGTGATTCTACCATGTATTTCTCAAACTTAAAAATAGTTATTTCCTTGGTATTGGCGATGTGCCTACATAAAATCAATGGATTAGAAGGTAACATGTCACCCTCACCTCACAACAATAATTGAGATCCAATTTCATGACGATATATCTCCCTTAGGCCTTAACCTTCGTTGTTGTATATTAGCGCAATGTTTCCTTTTTTAATGCCACCAATATTAGGTTTTTTAACCTTTATAATTTTTTTTAAAAAATAATTGTTAAAATAAGTTATTTAAAAAATAATTTACTGAAATAAATAATTTTGGACACGTAGGATTATAGAAAATGTCACTAGAAGTGACAAGTTGCAGAAAATGTCACTACCAATGATGTCTTGCATGTAATATGCATACATACATGACATATTTGAACGACATGTGGAGCAACAAAGAATAAGAAGAAAGGGTTACTAGTAGTGACAACTTGTTGCAACAAAAAAAAAAGAAAACGTCAGTTAAGATAACGTTTTACATGTAAGATTCAAGATTTTCTAAACAAACATAAATGTGTTAAGTAAATTTACACTTTTTGGATACTTGATTGTGTGAAGTCAACTCAAAACATTTTTTTTTACATAATGAATTACTGTTAAACTCCTTTATTTATACTAAATGTTGAAGTATTCATTTATGTTTTGTTCACTCCCTTTGTTTTAAATTTTTTTAGATACATTTTGTTAAATCTTTTTTTTGGTTTTAAATTTTCCTCGATTGTTACACTTGAGATGGGTTGTAATGTGCTCTAGACATTAAACCAATGATTCAGGAAACTATCCTTAATACTTTCATATCACCTAACATTTCTATCTTTTGTTGTAGTGTCACATACTTTTGGCCATGTTGTTTGTTATCATTTCCTCATTGCAAAAATATTAAAACTTAGTTTAACATGATCATTAGAATGGTCATGATTCATTTGCTCAAGTGATTTGTACTTTCTTAAAATATACAAATAAATTAAAGTTTAATTTTTGATTAATTAATTGTTCCTTACCATAATATCAATAAAAGATTCTTATATATCAAAAATTTTCATGTCAATGAAAGTATTATTTGATTTCTTATGTCTCAAATTAAAGGATTTTTTTTTACATATTTATAATTTTAACAAATAATTTACTAAATTATAATATTAAATTCTATTTATTTTTAAAATATAATTTCATTATTAAAAATATATTATTCTTTATATTTTACTTGTGAATTTTAAAATAGATTATCTCTATTTTTAAAAAATTAATATTTTTATAAAATAAATAAGTTTTAACATTATTTTTAAAATAGATTATCTCTAATACTCAAGTTTGTTGACCTTACTTTCAACATTCAACAACCACTCACCTACACCTACCCACTAAGTGCCTACTCTTAGCATTCATCTTTATTCTTGTCCTATAAAACTAAATCCTTCTGAGAAGTGGTGCGTCAGAAGCAAACCCATTTGATCCAACACTTTGTTGATAAATGGAAAAGGAGGCACCATCATCGAAGACTGCTGAAGTGGATTTCCCCCTTCACTCAATTGGCTTTGAGATTGAAGAGCTATCTCCTCAAAGGGTGTCTGGCCATCTCAAAGTTACCCAAAAGTGCTGCCAGGTTTTCCTTTCTTTTCCCCCAAACTAGCACACAATTAAAGTTTCTATTTTTATGCTTTGGTTTGTTTCTCCTGTGAATTTTCTTTTCCCCCCAAAAAGGGTAAATGGGAATTGGTTGTTGAAGCCATTCAAGGTGTTACATGGAGGGGTGTCAGCACTCATGGCAGAGGCTTTGGCAAGCATAGGAGCCCACATGGCTTGTGGCTACCAAAGAGTGGCTGGGATTCAGCTCAGCATCAACCATTTGAAAAGTGCTGTGCTTGGTGACTTGGTCTATGCTGAAGCCACCCCTCTAACTCTTGGCAAAACCATTCAGGTATTTCAATTTTTTCACCATTATCATCCATGCTAGATCTATTAACCACCAAATCTAATACTAATAGTAGTAGGCATCAACATCAAATGGGTGTATTGAAAAAAAATTAGTCCTTCGCTGATCAGAATTAAATTAAAATAGAGTACATAAGTAAAATATAATTTTTGCATCAACATCAAATGCGTGCACAATGTCAGATTAAATCATTTCAAACACATAAGATTATCATCTCTCCTTATTATTTGAGATAAGACCACTTTATAAGAATGAGTCATAGCATTTTATATTAAAAAAGAAGGAATCAGTCATTGAAATTAGCACGGAACTAGTAGCCCTGAAGCTACATTTGATTAGACATGTTCATAGGTTTTCACTGTTATTTGTGAAGTGCCTCTCCTCTCCAAAAAAAAAAAAAATATAAATAAATCAATTGTTATGATAAAATAAATAAATTTTCTCAAGTAATTAACTTCCATAACTTATTTTGTGAAATGTTCATGCAATTATTTTTACCCGAGATTTTTTTTGAAGAAATTAAACATTATCAGGCGTAAACCTCGCTCTTTTAAATATTCTTAAAATATATTATCTAACAGTTATTCAAACCTTTCAAACAAAAATTATTCAAACGATCATATATAGGTTAAAGGGGTAACAAATGGATGTTTTGGATAATTCTTTTTAACAAATCATAATAAATAAATAATATAAAAAATAATACATTAATTTATTTAAAATTCATTAAACAAAAATTCAATCCCATCAATCTATTTAAAGAATTTTTTACGTAAATAGAATTTTAAAAAAAATACAAAAATAACATCTATTATACTTTATTTACACAACTAGCACTGCTCACTGTTTACACTTAGAATTCGGTTCCCGGAACCGAATTCTAAGTTTCAAATTTTTTTTTTCGTGATCAGAATTCGGTTCCTGGAGAACCGAATTCTGAGTTGTTTTCAATTTTTTTTTGTGTTTGTGGTCCAGTGTGCGCGAATGTTAGAAGTGGAACGGGCCATTCCGGAAGCAGAACGAGCCGTTCTGTTTCAGGAACGAGCTGTTCTGTTTCAGGAACGAGCCGTTCTGTTTCAGGAACGACCCGTTCTGTTTCAGGAACGACCCGTTCTGTTTCAGGAACGACCCGTTCTGTTTCAGGAACGACCCGTTCCACTTCCTTTGACTAAGCCATAAACGCAAAAAAAAAAATTAAAAACAACTCAGAATTCGGTTCTCCGAGAACCAAATTCTGATCACAAAACAAAAAAATTTTGAAGCTCAGAATTCGATTCCTGGTGAACTGAATTCTGAGTGTAATCAGTGATTAGTGCTAGTTGTGTAAATAAAGTGTAACAGATGCTATTTTGGTAATTTTTTTATAAAAAAAATTCTATTTATGTTAAAAATTCTCTATTTAAAACAATAATTTATTCAATCTATTCATTAACAATTTTTTCATAAATAAATATTAAATTCATTCATAAAAATCATATTTTAAATTTTTTTTAAAATATATTTGTTTATAAGTCATTACATTTTTATATATTCTTTTAAAATTTATAAGATATTTTTTTTATGTCAAAATAATTTTTTAAAATCTCAATACAATAAATATTTCATATTATAATCCAATATATTATGAAAAAATAATTAAAGAATCATTAACCATTAACCATTATTAAAACTAAATGAATGAATTGGATTCAATTTATTATTCATTTTTAGTATAATACATAAATTTATTTGTTAATGGATCGAATGAATAATGAATAAATAGATTTATTTGCCATTTCTAGATCTCACCTTACATCTTAATATTAATTTTTTTAAATGGTTTAGTTCTGTTTGCTCAAACATGGCACTGGATGTACCTTAGGACCCGTGATGTGTTCACCAACCCACTAATCTTGGGAGAAAATATTCAGCATATTAAACATTTTTTCTTGTGTTTAAGAAACAAATCATTACTGGGTTAACTTTGTAGGCATTGATGGACTATTATTTACATGTCATAACCAAGCTATATTACTACCGGATTTGAGTCTTCTAGAGTAAAAATAAAGTACCTAATCAAAACTATTCATGAAAATATCAACATTTAACATTCAAATATATCTATGTTTTGTTTTTCAAATACATGTAACATAGACCGTTATTTTTTTTCTCATTAATTACTTTACCCTCTAAGATAAATTGCTCAGTTAAGAGAAGTCAGATCTATTATGTAAGCATGCAAATAATTGTTATGATATAATATTTTTTCATGTGACCAGGTATGGGAGGTGAAAATATGGAAACTTGATCCTTCAAACTCACAAAAGACATCTCAGATATCATCATCAAGGGTTACTCTACTGTGCAACATGCCTGTCCCAGATAATGCAAAAGACGCTGGCGACAGACTCAGGAAGCACGCAAGGCTATGAATATTCCTGTAGTTTAATTTACATATGCATAAACATAAATTTTCTTGTAGTTTAAAATACAGTAAGGAAAGGATTCTTGAGGGATATAAAAAGCAACATTAATGCTTAAAATGTACACCATGGTCATAATTTGTTGCTTAAATGGAAGGACAATTGTAATTATAAATGGTAGTGGAAAACCACCACTATGAAAGCCAACACCGCCCAAGTTCCAGCACATTACATATATCTCTATGTTGCTTTTCTTGTATATAACCTATGTTTTGTTTAACTGATCAATCCAACAAAAAATAAGACACACAAATTGGGAATATATTTATTTTTTTGTAAGCACCAACTATATAATATAGAAATCTCAATTGCACTATTGAGATGTCTATAATGTATATAACTATTCAATTTCAATAAATAGTATATAGTGTGTCACCAAAAATTGTGTTTGCGTGAGGTTGGTATTCAAGGTAGGGGACAAGATCAACTTCCTGTTCCTCACCAATAGAACTAACAAAACATACAATACTGTTCTCTTCACAAATATTGAATCTAAAACCAGTCATAAAGCTTAGGTGCCTTCCTCGAATCCCATAAAGATGGAAATTTCAGCCTAAACTCGAACTATATTGTCAATTTATTAGACCAAGGTATGATTCCACCCAAACTGAATTTTGTATTTGAAGAAAATCAACACTGCCAAATCTAAAATCTAGAAGCAGAATAAAAAGAAGTGACTCTAGAACAAAAGATAAGCACAATCAATAAATGGATGAGGATAAAATTATACAGAAAAAATAGTTCTCGGAAAAAACAATATAATAATTGAAACTTAAGAATAAAAAAAATAATATATCTTTCACTTAAAGAATATGAAATATTCTAGCCAAAAGAAAAAGACACAATTTGGTCATACGAAAAAATTAATTAGACAACAATATCAGAACGTAGCAGTCAAATTTTATCAGCATTAAACTTGGGGAATGCAATGTCCACAGCAGCATCCTCAATTTCCCCATTGAAGAATTCTCTCTTCTTACATACTATACCTTAAAAATTATTCCCCATTGGAGAATGCAATGTAACTATTTTTTCAAGTTTGAATAGTGCAACAAGCTTCCTGAATTTCCTGGTTTGTGAGAAGCCTAGTGGTATGAACATATTCAGAAACAGAGGGAACGTCTATGGACTCCGAGCTAATGGATTTCACAGAAAATTGACCTCCAATAGCCTTAATAGTTCTCTCTATAAATTCTGATCTTGTCAAATACTCCTTCATTCGACAAACAAAATCCAAGTGACTCCTTGTCTGCACCGTAGCAATCCAAATGTGAACATGGATTGGTAAACAGTTGAGGCAAAATAAACTCAAAACAGGTAAGTTTGATAACATCTGGAGACAGCAACTTATATTCAAATTATACACAAACACACAAGAAAAGCAGAAAAGTAATGTTTTCCATGCATTGCAGAGGACTCCTATTTTGAGCTTAATGCCACTGGAGACAGAAAACTAAATAATTTCACTTTTTGTTCACCTAAAATCAGTCATGGCAGAAATTATTCTCGTCATATCTATGTAGTAAACAAAAAAATACCAAGAAAATAGATAGAGGAATAGAACTGTTTCAGTTAGAGAGGTCCCACTAGCGCTAGTTAACTCATTTAGTTAGAGTTAGTCAGACAATTAAATATATTAGAAGATACCATAATAAATAGGTAATAGGTACAATTCACAATGAAGAAACATTTATTTCCACATTCAAATTCATTCAACTCTTTCTCTGCACTTGGTACCTTGACTACCTTCTCTAGAAGAAATTTACTCAAACTTTTAATATGCTACTGTTAGTAAGTTGGAGTTTACAGGCAAGTTACATATTTGTGCTATTATTTGTTTAGACAGATTAGAATGTCAATGTTGCATATCATATAGAAGATTACAACATCACCCATATTATCTTTCCTTGATTCTAAATTTTTAAAATGCATCCATCTTTCGGTTTAGTCTGGAACAAGATTAAAAACCCAAGTTTTTATCAAGTCACCTGAATCAGAAAAGTATACATGACAAGCAGCTTACAATCCGATAAAAATATACATGGCATAAAGCATATCAACCCAACCAAAAGAAGATAAGGAGCACAACACACATCAACAACTCAAATGCAGAAGAAAGAAAAATGAAAAAAAAAAAAAACTATAGCTTACTAATCGGTACTGAGGAGCCTTTGCCGGTAACTTGAGATAAGACATGTTCTTGACATCATAATCCCATAAAAAAGATGTGTGGTGTATCCACCGGTTCTTGGTTATAGATTGAGCATTACCACCAAACTTGCGATCACCAAACACATAATCTTTGAGGACAAAGGAAATAAGAATCCAATTAGAAATTCATTACGTTTCAATGTTTCATGAAACAGATATAAAATTTATGCAGTCCTTAAATCATTCAATGGAATCAGTCTATTTGCCTCTCAAAGCAAAATTAAAATGTATGTGCTCTAGATGAGATGCCTACATAAAAAATTGATAGTATAACTATCCCATAAACATTGTTAAAAGCATATTGATACTGGACTCAATCAATGTACCATTCTCACGGAGATGGAAATCAGCAAGACCTTCAAAAACATCGTTGTATAACAAACCACTCCAGGACATGATACTGCGGGGAAAGGGTTGCACATTTGAAACAGCATCTTTATTGCATATCATCGTAACAAATATAGTATTTTGGTCAACAACAACAGTTCCTCCCCCAGTAAATCTTCTGATGATAGGTATATGATCTTGCAACACAGGCTTGACTTCAACAAGTTCTGAAAGTTTCCTATGTAAATATTCCACATTGAAATTACATTCTTTTCCCCTTGGTTATTATTATATATAGAGAGGGTTGAAGGAGGCATCACACAAATAAAGCAAATCAACAAGCGACCTATAGAATTTAACATTCATTTGCTATATACTAGTGTCATTAAAACAGTCTGAAGCATATACCTGGGAATGCAACATTCCCACAGGATCGATGAAAACAGTTTCCATGAAGGAGGCGAAAACTTAACACACCCTTCCCCTTCTCATGCTCTACTCCTCACTATCACCCCCCCCCCCCCCCCCGCCGCCCACCCAACACCATCTGCAATTCCATTGCCACCACCCAATTACCCATGCCACCTCCACACTGAACACCAATGTTGTCACCAACCTATCATCATTGCATTGCACTCCCATCACCCTCATACCTGACCTAAAATGCTGCCAGTGTCACCACAACCATTTCCCATAGGTTTTTTGAAAATCGAACAGTGATTATGGGAAAAGACCAAGGTTAGTGGAAACTTTAAATTTGAGCCAAACTTATCAATAAAATGTGCTCCTGCAAAATTTTAAAAATATTCCTAAACGCAAGTTAAGCAAGCCAGACACAAGAACACTCCTTGGAATAAAAAAAAAAAAATGGCTCCACAAACTAGCCCATTAGTGATATGAGTACCTATTTTGACATCATTCATCAATATTGCACAAAATCAAGAAATTAGACCATAAAACAGGAATCAACATTGCACTCCACCTAAACTATTTTCAATGTATAAACTTTTCAGAATTCACAGATGCATCAAATCAGATTCTACACATTGAACAATAGATATTCATGTCAAATATTGGGATATTAGTAAAACCAGAAAATGATTGCTTCTGAAGCAGAGGAACATTCTAATGGTAAAAGAAGTACCCAGACAAGCCCATCACGATGGTAGGGGAACTGGTTCCATCATTTATAAGGCACCAATTATCTGAACTGGTTCGAAGCAGCCGTTCCTCTAAATGCAATTGCTGCAAAATAGGCATCCCTCTCAACTTAACCAGCTTCATCAATGGAAGTCCTGCTTCTCTTGCCTTACCCATCACAGCCATTATCCAGTGCTTTGATTCTGCAATTGAATGAAATCATTAAAGACATTCATAAATGACAAGTGATTAGCTACAATAAAAAATTAAAAAGATCAAATGAGACTAGAGCATTCTTAGCATAAATGCTAACTTATCAAGTTTTAATTGAGGAACAATAGAAGAGAATTCAGAACTTAAATTGAGAACATAAAGAAACAAAAGATAAAGTGAAAGATAATTAGAAAAGAATGAGAATGAGGAATCATGTCAAAATGAACGACTACCAAAACAACACAATAACTAAAAAGTGATAGGTGAAAGCACACCCAATTTCTATTAGCAGAACAGAACCCATTCCAAAGTTGTTTGAAAGAATCCATAATATCCAAGCAAGTGACACAACAAGACAACTAGTTGAAGACACATTTTATCAAACAGGTTGTGAGTAACTAAAATATCCAAATATCTAAGAGCAAAACTATAGGGTGGCAACAATGATAAACTGTGTGAATCTATAGAAAAGTGGGTAAGAAATTTGAGGAAGTCGGGTAAGCTATTATATTGAGTTTGTGCATCTTAATGAAGGTCGCCAATCCTATTAATTATTGATATAATGGCTTTTTTTTTTGGATAAAATTACATGATTATAAAAGTTGCATTCAGCTCCAGTACTCAAATTGTTCTTCCAATACTCTCTGATGTGCTTCTTGGGTAGCTGATGCAAATTCTATTCCGGTTCTATCACTTAGCTGTTGCAGGTTATGTATTGCCACCACATGGGTTTGAAATTCACCAGAGCCTACATTTATGCTTGCTAGATATCAGTATCAGGCGGCCTACATTCCTAATGTGGGACAACCAAAATAAAACAAATTTTCAGAAACTACTACTACTAACTACCAAAATTTTCTCCATGATGCGGCTGCTTCACTATTAATCAAAATGATTCCCTGTTCTCTACACTTTTTATGTTCCTCTTTAAGATGATCAAGCACAAGACGATCTCTTCCATAATCAAGATAAAAATATAAAAGCACCACAATACTGATTGTTCTATACCAAAAACTGGCATTACTAAGAATATTGTGATAATTCTTCAATGGTGATAAACAGCAACGTTCAAGGGAAAGGGGAACACCACAAATATAAAGAAGGTTTAAAATGATTTCCTACTCCACAAATTCAAGTATCTTAAATTTGGTCCCTATCATAATGAACAGGAAATCAATTCAAACATAATCTAGAAGCAGTACCGTGTTGCTTAGAACAAAGTAGTTAATTTAGTATGAACTGCACAGACTTTAGGATACCCAATTCATCAAAAGTGGTAAAAATAACAAATTTGCAAGCCAAAATTCAAGAAAAATTATGATACTGAGAAGAGTGAAACAGGGCACATAAGGAGCGAAGCATTCTATATGCAAAGTTTTTAAAATATCAAATAAGAGCACACCCGTTATCAGCTTCAAGCCTGTTTAGAGAACATTGCAATGAAAAAAACAGAACCCTCGAACTTTGTAGTTTAGAACTACCTAGCGTAACAGTTTACGTATAATATGTAAATGGATCGAAGCCAAAAATGTTGCAGAGTCGCTGGAGTGAAGGTGCCAGGCGGAGGGTTTTATAGGAATTAGATTGGGGAAAACAAACAAAATTAGAGTTTATTTTTTTTAATCCAAAACCGGAACGGGCCGTTCCCACAACTGGAACGGCCGTTTAAAAACCCAGTTTGGAACGGGCCGTTCTAAGTTATTAAAAAAGACTAAAAACCTTGTTTGGAACGGCCGTTCCATCCTAGTCAATCATGTGTAAAAATCATATCTGGAACGGGCCGTTCTAGTATTAAAACGGGCCGTTCCAGTTACACAATTAACACGGAACGGACGGATTCAGAACGGCCCGTTCTGATTTGGAACGGGCCGTTCTGGAAAATTTTTGATGTCTATAAATAACAGACTCGAGGCCTCATAATTTCGTCGAAAACTTCTTAGAGCTCGAAATTTTTTTCTCTCTCTTTTCTATTATATTTCTTGAGATTTGTGTAGTGTGAAAGGTTGCAGCAAAACACCTAAAATCTCTATTGTTGAAGATCTAATAAAGCTTGTTACGAGGTATTACTCATCAATCTCTTGTTTCATCTTTTTCTTCTTTTATTTCAAATATTGCTATAATAAACGCAATCATATAAATATCTTAGGGTTCATCATGTAATTTAAATTTTATGTAAATAATCATTTATAAAAGGGATTAAATATTTAAACTATTAATTCTTATTAGGTTAAAACTCTATTTTGGTCTCTTATATTAATTGTTTGTTTCAATTTAGTCCCAATAACATAATTAAACAGAGGATAACCAATGACATAATTATCAATAATAAATAGAGACATATATAATATATTAATTGAATTTAATATAATATTTTACTAACAAAAACATTATTATGTGTGAATTTTGTACAATAAATTCAAGGAATTTAATTATATAGAGTCATTAACCATATTTGATTAGATGATCATTAGTATCTAATAACATAATTGTTAATTACATTTTGATATAATTAGGCATCATCAATGACATAATTATCAATAATAAATAGAGACATATATAATATATTAATTGAATTTAATATAATATTTTACTAACAAAAACATTATTATGTGTGAATTTTGTACAATAAATTCAAGGAATTTAATTATATAGAGTCATTAACCATATTTGATTAGATGATCATTAGTATCTAATAACATAATTGTTAATTACATTTTGATATAATTAGGCATCATCAATTAAATTTAATATAATTTTTTATTTAATAAAAATATTATTAGATGGATTTTATACTATATCAATGAATTTTGTTTAATAGATTAACTTAGCATATTTGTAGTGAGAAAATGAGAAAAAATTAAGTTGCTGAAGATTAAAAAAAACCAGATTGAATCTAAATTTATAGATAAAAACATATTTAAGAAAAAAAAATATAACTTAAAAAAAACAGATGCATAAATTTGTTTCAAATCACAGAACTCGATATATCTCATCCAATGCAACAATAACAACAACAACGTGGAGGAACTAAAAAACCATGCAAACCAATAGACAACCTAGATTTGCAAGCAAACATGTAATTGTGTGTTGATTTGTGTTTTTTTTATCTAGTTTGATAACTGAATGAGCATAAAGTGCAGTTGCCAATGGTGGGTGGGTGTTCAAGGTACCTATCTGTCCTTCCATCCCTTGAAGAGCTTGTTAAGTTGTTGAAGCTCTGTGCTGAGGCCAAATGTTTACCCTTTGGCAAAGCCATGCATGCCCAGTTTCTGATTCGCAACCAAACGTCAAGTCGCTCTCACATCACTCACCTCAACTCCCTCATCCATCTGTATGTCAAATGTGGCCAACTGGGTCTTGCCCGAAATGTGTTTGATGCAATGCCCCTTAGAAACGTTGTTTCTTGGAATGCTTTGATGGCCGGGTATCTGCATAGTGGGGACCATTTGGAAGTCCTTGTGATGTTCAAAAACCTGGTTTCATTGCAAGATGCATGCCCAAATGAGTATGTGTTCACCACTGCTCTTTCCGCTTGTTCTCATAGCGGGAGAGTCCAGGAAGGGATGCAGTGTCATGGGCTACTGTTAAAGTTTGGGTTGGTATGTCATGAATATGTGAAGAGTGCACTTGTTCACATGTACTCAAGGTGCTTTCATGTAGAGTTAGCATTACAGGTGTTGGATACAGTTCCTGGTGGACATGGCAATGATATATTTTCTTATAACTCGGTCTTGAATGCACTTGTGGTATCTGGGTGTGGGGAACAGGCTATGGAACTTTTGAGGAGGATGGTGGATGAATGTGTGGCATGGGATCATGTTACATATGTCAGTGTCATGGGGCTTTGTGCTCAAATTAGAGATTTGCAATTGGGTTTGCGAGTGCATGCCCGGTTGTTGAGAGATGGTTTGATGTTTAATGAGTTTGTTGGTAGCATGCTGATAGACATGTATGGAAAATGTGGTGAGGTTTTGAGTGCAAAGAAAGTTTTTGATGGCTTGCAAAAAAGGAATGTGGTTATGTGGACAGCCCTTATGACCGCTTACTTGCACAACGGATACTTTGAAGAGAGTTTGAATTTGTTCACATGTATGGATCGAGATGGTACTCCACCCAACGAATACACTTTTGCAGTTTTGCTTAATGCATGTGCAAGTATAGCAGCACTGAGACATGGTGATCTATTACATGCTAGGGTTGAGAAGTTAGGCTTTAAGGATTATGTCATTGTCACGAATGCTTTGATAAATATGTATTCCAAGAGCGGAAGCATTGATTCTTCATATAATGCGTTCTCAGATATGATACATCGAGATATTATCACTTGGAATGCTATGATATGTGGGTATTCCCATCATGGGCTTGGTAAACAAGCTTTACAAGTGTTCCAAGACATGATGCTTGCTGGAGAATGTCCAAATTATGTAACCTTTATCGGGGTTCTTTCTGCTTGTGCTCATTTGGGGCTTCTAAAAGAAGGGTTTTACTATTTGAATCAGCTAATGAAAAATTTCAAGATTGAGCCAGGATTGGAGCATTACACCTGTATGATAGCACTTTTGTGCAGGGTTGGTATGCTTGATGACGCCGAGAAATTCATGAAGACAACTCAAGTGAAGTGGGATGTTGTTGCCTGGCGAACTTTGCTAAATGCGTGCCATGTTCATCGTAATTATGGTTTGGGAAGACGAATTGCAGAATCTGTCTTACAAATGGATCCTAGTGATGTAGGGACATATACATTGCTATCAAATATGTATGCCAAGGCAAGAAAGTGGGATGGAGTAGTGACAATTCGGAAATTGATGAGGGAAAGAAGCATTAAGAAGGAACCTGGAGTAAGTTGGCTGGAAATAAGAAACAATATCCATGTTTTTCTTTCGGAAGGCAGCAATCATCCAGAGTCTGTTCAAATTTATAACAAGGTCCAACAATTGTTGGCATTGATTAAACCACTGGGGTATGTGCCAAATATTACCTCTGTGCTGCATGATGTGGAAGATGAACAGAAAGAAGGTTACCTTAGTTATCACAGTGAGAAGCTGGCCTTAGCATATGGCCTCATGAAAATACCTTCACCAGCACCCATCCGTATAATAAAGAACCTTCGGATGTGTGATGATTGCCACATTGCAGTAAAACTAATATCAAAGGCCACCAACAGGTTGATAATTGTTAGAGACGCTAACCGTTTTCATCATTTTCAAGATGGATCCTGTACTTGTGCAGACCACTGGTAGCATTTCCATAAATTTTGCAGGCATAGTTGTTCGAAGTGAATATTGTAGGTTCTACACTTTATTAGCATAGACTGCAGTGTAAAGATGTCAAACACAGTCTGAAAATGTTCATTCAACATGGATAACTTCTGTATCAAGTTTAAGGATATTCCAGTGAAATGAGATTCATGAAATCGAATTCCATTTTCGTTCAGTTTAAAATAAATCACTGCTCATATAGAAAACTTGTGTCTTTCAACATTGAACTAAAAGAGGAATCTGACTTGTAAGGATTGACAGGTAACAACTTAGATTTCTCTGCACTCTGCAGCTTTTCAAACAATTTATGTTTTTTCTTTGCTTTTTGTATATATAGCTTAAAACACGATTAGATTTAGGAGAGCTTTGACATCAATTTTGTTGGTGGTTCCGCATTGTTTTCTTTGGTCCTATAGAATGGTTAACCAGAAAAGAAAAAAAAAATTGTCCATGACTCGGGAACATCTATACCAACTTCTGTTCTGGGATATCTTTAAACAACGCTTGATTGATATTTTAAGTTGATTGTATTAGGATGGGATCACTGAAAAGTTTTATCCCTTCAAATGACCTGAAATTCCCTTTAGAGATGTTGTTGGTGAGCTTAAAAGCTTACGGTGGTCTTCTTTTTCTGTCTTACGACACCAATTGATATTTCTTTATTATAACCAACTCTCTTCTTGAGTCTTGTTTCTATTAAATTACGGATATTATATTTCATTTAATAGTAACAAAAGGTAGCTGCACACTTAAATTTCACTGCTTGATAATTTAATGTATGCATGCAAGATTTGTTAAGTTGTTTTATGATAAGCATTTAAAACCTTGTAAAATATTATATTAATGCGGATACGAATCTTGAACTCAATACCACCTAGCTTCCTCTAAGGGAACCATTTGTAAAACACATAATTATGCAACATTTTGGTACAAGAAATGATATAGCTTTGTTGACTACTAGTCAATTACTTAGCTCAAGTAGTTCAGGTGGGTGAAATTTATAATTTCAAGTTATCCTCAAGTTGCACATGTTCCTATGTTCCTTTTTAATCTCCTCTTTTTTGTGTTCTTGTATTTAATGTTGACAGTGAATCAATGATAATCTAGAATTGAAATAAGAAAATCATTGATATATATTTTTGTATAATTAACAAAACTCACCTCCCAAGAAGTTCCTTAGAGTACACACTAAGCAAATTTTCATTTTTTTTTCAATTTTCCATAGGTAAATGCATTTTATTAGTATCTCTAGAATTTGGGTTGTCAGATAAACAAAACAAAATCCTCAAAAGTTCAAAGCTCTTTTGGTTCCTTTTCTTCCAAATCTTCCATAGATTTAAGGCAAATAATGTTGTAATGTCTATGGCAGACACGTAGATACGAATCTTGTAACTCAATCCCACCTAGCTTCCTCTAAGGAAATCATTTGTAAAATACATAATTATGCAACATTTCAATAGAAGAGACGACATAGCTTTGTTGACTGCTAGTCAATTACTTAGCTCAAGTAGTTCAGGTGGGTGAAAATTGTAATTTCAAGTTATCCTCAAGTTGCACATGTTCATTTTGAATCTCTTTTTTTTTGTTCATATATTTTATGTTGACAGTGAATCAATGATAACCTATAATTGAAATGAGAAAATAATTGATATATATTTATTATATAATTAATAAAACTTATCTCCCAAGAAGTTCTTATAGTACACACTGAGCAAATTTTCATTTTTTTCTTTCAATTTACCATAGATGAATGTGTTGGTCCTTTAGCTTCTAACACCTAACAAGAAGATTAAAACATACAAGAACCACAAAATACTGGTGCACACATGCACATAGATGCAAGAATGTTTATAAAATGAAGAAATTAAAGATGAGAGAAAAAGAAAGAAGAACACCAAGCTTTACCTGGTTCAGCCTTGAGGCTTACATCCACGGGAAGAGGGGCACCAATTCACTATGATCTTCAAGCAATACAAGTTACAAGTCCCACAAGAACCTTTACCTTGTTCTACCATTCCTTGTCCCACAAGAACCTTTACCTTGTTCTACCATTCCTTGTAACTTTCACCTTTACTTGTTAAATCACTTTCCCACTCACCAAACTGACTTGTATTTATATTACATACAAGAGAGAAAGATAAGAAAAGAAAATATATGCAGAATACAAGGGAATCCAAGATTAAACCAGAATCATAGCCAACTAACAGAAAAGAAGTTAGTTGAGAAACTCTTTTTATTTTATTTTGTTTTAGAGTCACACAAATCAACAAATTTCCACCTTGACTCTTAAAACAAATAAGAAGAAGAACCCTTAAACCTCCAAAGCTGCTTTTCACATTCATGCTTCAATCAACTTGAAAAATTAATCAAGTCCAAGCAATGCTTGAACTTAGCTCTAGGAAGAGACTTTGTTAGCATATCAACTGGGTTGTCTTCAGTGGCAATCTTCAGAACTTGAATCTTTCTTGTTTCAATCATATCTCTGATGAAATGATATCTAACGTTTATATGTTTGGTCCTTTCATGATAAGTATGGTGATTGGCTAAGTGAATAGCACTTTGGCTATCACAATTTATGGTAACTCTAGACTGATTTATACCTGGATCACCAATCAATCGTTTTAACCATGCCCCTTCCTTAGCTCCTTCAGTAAGAGCAATATACTCAACTTCAGTTGTTGACAAAGAAACCACTGATTGTAGGTTAGCTTTCCAGGTTACTGCAGAACTAAACATAGTGAACACATAACCTGTTAATGACTTTCTTGTATCAAGACATCCTGCAAAATCAGCATCAACATATCCAATCACAGCATCTCCTTCTATATGACTTCTTTTAAATCTCAAACCACATCCAAAGTCCCATTGAGATATCTAAACAACCATTTCAATGCATTCCAATGAAGTTGACCAGGATTTGTCATAAACCTACTAACCAAACTAATTGCATAAGCCAAATTTGGTCTGCAACACACCATGCCATACATGACACTGCCAACCCCACTAGCATAGGGAACAGACTTCATCTTGATCCTTTCTTCCTCAGTTTTAGGAACCTGAGAAATAGATAGTTTAGATAGAGATCCAAGAGGTGTATTGACAGGTTTAGATTGATGCATTCTAAACCTCTCAACTACTTTCTTCAAATAATTTTCTTGTGATAGGAACAATTCTCCTTCATTTCTGTTTCTAATGATGTCCATTCCCAAAATCCTCTTGGCAGGGCCAAGATCCTTCATTTCAAACTCAGAATTGAGCTTAGATTTGAAATTTTCTATCTCTTCCTTACTAGGACTTGCAAGAAGAATATCATCTACATATAGGAGTAGATATAACACATATTCCTTCTTTCTTTTAAGAACATATACACAGCTGTCATACCTGCATCTATAGAAACCCAACTTCATCAAAAAATCATCGAACCTCTTATACCACATCCTAGGACTTTGTTTCTAGGACTTTGTTTTAGACCATATAAGGATTCTTTTAGTAAGCAGACTTTGTTTTCTTCTTCAGAGAAACCTTCTGGTTGTTGCATATAAATGGTTTCTTCAAGGTCTCCATGCAGAAAAGCAGTTTTGACATCTATTTGTTCCAACTCCAAGTCAAACTAGTTTACAATGCTAAGCAGAATCCTTATAGAACAACGCTTCACTATAGGTGAGAAAATCTCATTGTAGTCTACACCTTCAACCTGAGTAAATCCCCGGGCAACAAGTCTTGCCTTGAACCTTGGTGCTTCAACTCCTGGAATGCCATCTTTCCTCTTGAAGATCCATTTGCAGCTTATGACCTTTTTCCCTGTTGGCAAACTAACAAGCTTCCAAGTCAAATTCTTTTGTAGAGATTTCATCTCTTCATGTACAAATTCCATCTCTTCATGTACAGCCTTCATCCAATCTTGTGCTTCACTGCTTTCCATAGCCTCCTTATAAGTCTTTGGTTCAAATCCTTGCACTTCATTTGCAGTATTAAGAGCATAGCAAATAAAGTCAACATAACCATATCTGCTAGAAGGTTTAAGAACTCTCCTTGCTCTATCTCTAACCAATTGATGACTTATATATCCTGATTTCCAACAGCTTCACCTGAACTTGAAGCTCCATCAGTGGTTTCTTCAGAATTTTCAGTTTGATTTATTTATGAAGAGTGTGTGGAAGACTCCACCTCAAACTGAACATGATCTTTGCTAGAGCTCTCTTCCATTTGTTGTTCTTCAAGTATTCCCAATTTGGTCTCATCAAAGGTAACATCCCTACTGATTATGCATTTTCCTCCACCTTTTTCCAACTTCCATAGCTTGTAGCCTTTCACTCCATCTGGATATCCTATGAAAACACATTTCACAGCTCTTGGTTCTAACTTACCCTCTTTCACATGAGCATAAGCTAGAGATCCAAACACTCTCAGATTGGAGTAATCTACAGGTTTTCCATGCCAAGCTTCCATAGGAGTTTTATGGTTCAATGCAGAAGAAGGACACTTATTTATGAGATATGCAGCAGTGGTAGCAGCTTCACCCCAGAATTTCTTTGACAATCCTGAACCAAGAAGCATGCATCTAACCCTTTCCAAGATAGTTCTATTCATCCTCTCAGCAAGCCCATTTTGTTGAGGTGTATGAGGGACTGTTCTATATCTTTTAATCCCCTAGTTCCTGCAAAACTCAGCAAACTGCTCTGAAAGAAACTCCAGGCCATTGTCAGTCCTTAATATTTTTAACTTGGTTTCAAGTTGGTTTTGGATCAGAGTATTCCAATCCTTGAATTTTTTATATGTTTCAGTTTTATCTTTTAGTACATACAACCACATTCTTCTAGTAAAGTCATCAACGATAGTGAGAAAATAAGAACCTCCACCTGGAGTTTTAACTCTAGAAGGTCCCCACAAATCAGCATGAACATACTCAAAAGGCCTACTAGAAACATGTATACCAGTTCCAAACTTTACCTTGTGAGACTTACCTAACACACAATGTTCACAAAATTATAACTTATCAAGCTTATCACCCTTGAGCAAATTCTGTTTTTATAGTTCAATTAGGCCTCTCTCACTTACATGTCCTAGCCTTAAATGCCATAGTTTTGTTTTATCAATGTCATTTCTAGCTATAGATGCATGAGCCATAACAGTAGATCCATCTAAGACAAACAAGCCATTATTCTTATCTTTGTTACCTTTAGCAATCACAAGAGATCCATTCAAAATTTTAAGTACACCATGTTGAGTTTTAGTAGCATAACCTAAACTATCAAACATGCTTATAGATATAAGATTTCTCTTGAGATCAGGCACATACCTCACATCTTTAAGGATGTATTCTCTGTTGTCAAACATTTTAAGCCTGACTGTGCCAATTCCTTGCACCTGACATGGATGATCATCTCCAAGCAACACTGTCCCTCCTTCCTTAAACTTCAAGGTTTCAAAATAGTCCTTCTTGGGGCACATGTGATAAGAACACCCTGAGTCCATAACCTAGTCTTTTTGTGTCTGTGAAGTTGTGACTACAAGAACATCAGCACTCTCATAGCCATCAGATATTGCAGCTATGTCAGCAGAATCAGCTGATGATTTTTGGTCCCTATTCCTCTCAGGACAGTTTTTCTTGAAATGACCAACCTTGTGACAGTAGAAGCACTTGAATTTTGACATGTCACCAATTTTAGATTTTGATCTAGCTTTCTTTCCTTTCTAACTTTGTCCCTTTTTCTCACTTCTGCCTCTTGACACATTCAAACTCTCCCCATTATCATCTGTCTTGTTATCTTGTTGTCTTTGCAACTCTTTTGTCCTAATTGAAGTTTGCACTTCATCCAGAGTAATGTCCTGTTCTTTGCCATAAAGAATGGCATCCTTGAAGTGTTCATAATTCCTTGGTAGTGAGTTCAAAAGGAGCAGAGCCTTGTCTTCATCTTCCAGCTGTACTTCTATATTTTCCAAATCATCCAAGATCTTGTTGAACTCAGCTAATTGATCCACAATTGATTTTGTTTCTGTCATCTTGAATGAGTACAATCTTTGTTTCAAACATAATCTGTGAGCTAATGACTTTGTCATGTACAAAGACTCCAGCTTAAGCCACATAGCTGCAGCAGTTTTCTCTCTAGCAACCTCCCTGAGAGCCTTGTCACCTAGACATAGAATTATAGCACTCCTAGCCTTCTCAATCATGTTTGTTTTCTCCTTCTGAGTTAAAGAACTTACCATTTTTTCATCTCCTTTTATAGCTTCTGCACACCCTTGTTGAATCAAGATTGCTTCCATCTTGATCCTCCAAAGCCCGAAATCATTCTCACTAGAAAACTTCTCTATGTCATACTTTGTATTTCCCATTCTTGATAGTGTTTATCCCCACAGACGGCACCACTTGTTGGTCATTTAGCTTCTAACACCTAACAAGAAGATTAAAACATACAAGAACCACAAAATACTGGTGCACACATATGCACATAGATGCAAGAATGTTTATAAAATGCAGAAATTAAAGATGAGAGAAAAAGAAAGAAGAACACCAAGTTTTACGTGGTTCAGCCTTGAGGCTTACATCCACGGGAAGAGCAGCACCAATTCACTATGATCTTCAAACAATACAAGTTACAAGTCCCACAAGAACCTTCACCTTGTTCTACCACTCCTTGTAACTTTCACCCTTACTTGTTAAATCACTTTCCCACTCACCAAACTGACTTGTATTTATATTACATACAAGAGAGAAAGATAAGAAAAGAAAATATATACAGAATACAAGGGAATCCAAGATTAAACCAGAATCATAGCCAACTAACAGAAAAGAAGTTAGTTGAGAAACTATTTTTATTTTATTTTGTTTTAGTCACACAGATCAACAGAATGCATTTTATTAGTATATCTAGACTCTAGGTGGTCAGATAAACAGAACGAAATTATCAAAAGTTCAAAGCTCTTCTGGTTCCTTGTCTTCCAAATCTTCCATAGATTTAAGGGAGATAACGTTGTAATATATAGCAAACACACATATGGATAACCGACGTTAAAGAACATCCGTTACTTTATCTCTTTGAAAGTATAAGGAACACTAATATATAAAGACTTAAGTTTTACAAGACCGAATAATGTGGAACTTCTTTTGAAATAGATATACAAACGCCACATATGCATTAGATAATTTCTAGTTCGAATTTGGGGGAGTACAGCTGTTGAGGTGATCTCATAGGTCGGTCCATGACAATAACAACAAAGCCCCCACTTCTAGACATTATGTGAACATATGTAATTCATTCCACCAGAATATGTCAATTAGATTGTCTCGAGTGGCAAGAAAAAAATTGAGTGCTTCTCACTTAAAAAATTAACTTTAGAGGGCAACATAAGTGTCCATATTCGTGGCTTTCATCCATGGAGCAAAGTAGTACTATAATGGGTACTGCTGTACTAGACATCCAATGCAAAATTTATGAACAAATGCATATTAATATTACCTTTCTTGCATCCTTCCAGCAATAATTTGTCTTTAGATGGAATCATTGGGAGCTCTATTATAGTCTAAAAAGCCAAGGTATCTACAAAATAGATACCTTCTATTCTTTTGTTCAGAACTTTACGAGGAAATTTGACTTTTCGCAGAAATTTGTTCATCTCACAGTACTATCTTTTCTATGTTTCTTCCGTATTTTCTTCATATATATATATATATATATATATATATATGTGTGTGTGTGTTTTCTTCATGGATTTTAGTTCATAGAAAGCATTTCCATCAGAGTTTTTTAGGGCTGTCGACAATCACAACTTTCCAGTGTACTTATTTTTCTGTTAGATTCAAACATTGATGAAAACATTATGAAGAAGCAATAACTCAGAGAACATATTAAACTAACTCATATAATATATAAATGAAAAAAGAGAACAAACAAATCAGCAGAAGCGATTTTCCATAATCTTTACAAATTCAATGAAATCTATTCTTCCATCTTGATTTGTATCAAAGACCCTGATCATCTTGTGGCAGTTCTCAAGTTCTGCTGCTTCCTTCAATCCCAAAACACACAGAACTCTCTGCAACTCCTCTGCAACAATAAACCCATCTTTGTTCTCATCAAAAACATCAAAAGCCTGCTTCACCTCCTCCAGACTTGGCTCCTGCTCCTCAAACAGTTCAGAAAGCTCCTTGGAACCATACTTCTCCTGAAGTTCCTCACTTTCTGAGCTGCAAAAAAATCCCAGTTTTGCCATCACCATTTTGACTTCATCCCTCTCAAGATTCTCACAATCTCTTGTGCCATTTGACTCATTATCTTGGTGGCTAAACTCAGACTTTGATATCTTCTTTTCTTCCCTCACCTCTGAGTAATCAGAATAAAGTTGGCACACGAGGAAAAACCAGAAACTCAGGAAAAAACTCTGGATTTTGTTGAAAAATGTACAGAACAAGGGAAGGTCTAACAAACCAAACAAGGAAGAAGTTGAGTTTCCATCATTCTGAGATGCTTTCCCCTCAGAAATAAGGAAGTCAAGTTCCCTAATAACATTCATGGCTGCAGATATGTTCAAATATAGATGAAGAGGTAGAATCCTGTGGCGATCCCTTGTGTAAGGGGTTGAAAATTGCAAATTGTTAAGTTGTTATTTAGCCTATGAAAACGAGAAATGTTATTGTTGATGTTATTGTTGTTTGAGGGGTGTGGAGGGTTGGTTATATAATTCAGAAGTTGGAACATTGAAGCAGCCAGGATGGTCAGCTTTGAAAGGTGAAGGAAGCTGCTTGACAAGTTCATTCATAGAAAGAAAGTGCTAGAATATAAGTAAATGGTTATTTCTTGACAGCTTCAAAGGAAATTTCCTGTTTCCTTATTCCATATTATATGGAATTTTTCCAGGTTGATGTGGTCGTTTGAAAGAGAGGCATATCAGGCTGGCCTGCTTTTTCCATGTCTTTGTCTTTTTCTGATTTCATTTTTTCTACAATAAATGTATTTCCGGCAAGACTTTCTGTTGTCAAAGGAAATTGCAATCAGTAGTTTCCAAGAAGTGAGTGACCACTACGTGCCTAACAATATGGCGTGTGTCACATTTCCACTTATTCCACGTAATTCTCTTGTAATATTATATATTTTTATCAGTTAAATTATCATGTATTGTTAATATGAATTATACAGAAATTATTTTTGAGATAATTTTTATAATAATTAATAAACTTACTTTATAATATAATTTGTGATTAGACGATTTCATAATATTTTTTTTAACATTCTAAGTATGTTTTAATAAATAAAAAAAGTGTTTATAGTTATAGATTTTGGTGCAGTGTGAAACTGCCATTTCGGCTATCTTGTTTCCTTCAAATTTTCCATGTCCACTTATATTTGTAGTTGTCAACTGACATACGTCACTCTATTTAAGGGATTTTATAAACTATCTTTGAGTGAGTTTTTACATTTGCTAATTGTTATTTAGGTCAGTTTAATGTATATTAGGGTTCAATGTTTGTAATAGTTTTAACTTTTAACAAATCACCTTCTCCTCAATCACTATTTCATGTAATCTTCTCGTCCGTTCATTATTCCGTAACTCTTATAATTTTATTTCATGTTCTTTCTCGCTATTGCCAACAATTGTTAGATCATTTCTTTTGTTACTTAATAACATCAAAATTTGGGAAATTGAAGAGAAAGAGGTGTTGCATTTTGAAAGAAAAAACGTTGTGGGACCAAATTTTAGAATATGTGCCGTTTTCATGGAGGAAATTTTCTACGGAATTTTATGGAAAGCATTTTCCATGAAATGGGTGAGTTTACTTTTACCAAAGGTAATAGAATATTGGTGGAAGACGAGTAGACGACCATGTAACCCTTTTACACTTCTTTATTCCCTTCCTCGAAGGGAACCTAGAAATTCAATGTCCAATAAATAACCCTTGATTTTACCTTGAAACATAGGTATTAACTTGTCTCTAAAATCTTCAATGTGAAACAATACGAGTACAGAAACTGCTAAAAATTAAAATTGTACCGTTCCTTTAACGTTGGTATTTTTATTTTTTTACTGCTGATTATATATTTCATAAATCATAATAAAATTGATACAAGTACATGACTAAAAGTATGTGAACTAGTATGAAATCTAGATATTCTTGTTAGAGTATGAACAACTTGATTGACTTGTCTACTAACAAAATTTATCGAAGAATTATGAATCAAACTAAATTTCTTTTTACATAAAGTTAAAATATGATCAAACTCTATTTATACAGGAGTTAGAATGTATGTCATAAAAAACATACTTGTAGTTAAGTTCAAAATAGACGTTATGGACACACATACTAATGATCCAAATGATTGTTGTTAATAGGGATGATGTCTCAACTTTATGAACATGAAAATTACATGTATGATAAGATGTCATTAATGAAACAAATTCACCTTTTTCATTTCAAATACAAACCTTCATGCCATAAGTAATCAAATATGTAAAAATAGAGGTGATTATGTTGGACTTCATCATACCAGAAATAGGTTTAGTCCTGCTTTGGTAGCTAGTATTAGAATTCAAATTTTGGCAAGAAATACTTACAATAGGTGACTCTTTAATAGCTTTTCAGTGTCAAATATAATATTTGACAACATTGAGTGACATATTTATTGACTTCTCTAAAACTTCCCAAGCATTTTCATTGTGTCAATGCCAAAAGCACCAAATGGTGGATATAAAAAGCAATTTTTAGTCCTTATGTAAATATTTTAGAATATGAAAAATGCATTCTTTTAATATTATTATTATTTTAGATTTCATAAAAATAACTCTTCTACTCTATACATAGATTAGGATAACAAGTGTATCACTTTTTGATACAAATTTATTAAAGAAGCTTAGTCTCTCAATTAATAGTTAAATACATTACTCTTAATTGTGATGATTGAATAATTTATGAAGAAACAAATTAATATTACATTAAAAACTGAGAATATCATTCATTTTGAGACATTTTTTAAATGTTAAAACTACTATAATTGTGAAATGAATGAAATATTATAAAATTTCTTAATATATCGTTTATTTTTTATATTAATTAAATTCTTTGTTATCAATTTTTTTTTATATATTTTAGAAAATAAATAATTAAAGATAATATATATATATATATATAATGTTTCATTAATATTAAAAAATGACAATCAAAACCAAATAATTTTTTTTAATATATCAAACAAAATAGAACGGATATAGACAGATCGGTACCATAGTAACAAAGGATACCTTTGACTTTTGGTATGATAGTTTTAGCAGGTAAGAGTACCCAAATTATTTATCCAAAATCCTCCTTTATTAGTTCAACCAATCTTATTGACTTGGACTCAACTCAACAAGTGAGATGTTATTTAGAAGCTATGCTTTAACAGTCAAGACTGGTTCAACGATTATTTAGATAAAAAAAATCTTAAGATGAGATTTCTTTAAAGATTATTTATTAGAATTATTGTAGTTTTAATTTTATTTTATTTTATTTTTAGTATTTTGAGATGCAATAACATTTCTTTTTTATCACTACATAGCCAACTTGTATTACAGAAATGAGGGTATAAAAAAATTTAAATATATTTCTACTTCCTTTTAAGATAAATTTATTTTTAATTTTTCAAATTTAAAATTATTATTTTTAGTTTTATAATTTTTAAAAATTTTATTTTAGTCTCTTAGATCATTAATAACATGTTTGAAAATGAGATATTAAGATATTTATACAGCATCAACTAGATTTAATGTAATATTTTTACTAACAATTATATTAACAAATAGACTTTACAAGACAATATTTAACAAGTTATTTAACAAAATTTGAATATAAGATCTAAAATAATATTGTTTTAAATTATAAGAACTAAAAATATTAATTTTAAATTTAAAAGACTAAAATAAATTTATTTTAAATTTAAAAAACTGAAAATATATTCAAACCTAAAAAAATCACCAAATTATCGACAAAGGAAGACTCCAGTTTTTTTTTTTTCTCTGTTTCGGTCGTGGGAAGACTTCAGCTTCGGCCTTTAAGATCAAGTGTTGGACCCATATAGTTTTTGGGCCAATATTAGAGATATCCAACGACACAATTTTTTTACAATAAAAAGTAACTAGTTTTGTACTTCTTTTCAGTTTTTGCCGTGAAGAATATAAATATATAATTTACCCTACGTAAGTGATGTATTTGTTAATTTAAAGAGTCAAATTAGTTAGTTGGTTAGTTAACACTAAATAATTAAAAAAAACTTCATTGAATATATATTTGTATGTAATGATATTGATCATCAATAATTATCCTCAAGGAAATTTATTAACTCTTTTAAAGTTAAAAAGTAGGTAAAATAAAACTTTGTTTACCATTTTCCTCATCTAAATATTTTCTATTAATTTTACATTTTCTTCTTGGGATAAATTTTTTTTATCACACTTTTATGTACTTGAAACTTACAATATAACCTAATTCAAGACCTAAGTATTAGGATATAAATAAAATTTTGCACATTAAAAAATGAGAAAAAAAATTATAAACTTAAAAAATACATGCATATTTAATTAAAATATTGAAGTTTTTTGGATGATGATTAGAAGTAAATCTATGAAAATTTAGGTTTTAAAGTGAACAATATTATATCAATGTGTATATGTGTGTAAATAATTGTTTTACAATAAAAACGTCATAATCCTCTTAAAAAATATATCTCACAATAAATAAACTACAAAATAATTAATCATAAATATTTTAGCCAATGATTCAATGTAAAATATATTTTCACAAAATATAAATAACACCAACAAAAATACAACACAAAACATACATTTTCTTGAATAAGAGGTTAGATCTTATGTTTGAGAGAGTAATCCTTAAAATGAAAACTAAATTCCACACATTATGAAAGGATGATGAGTTTGAGTTTATAAAATATTACGCTATATTGGAATAAGACTTTTTGAGTGATAAGTGATAATCAAAAATAAATTTATAAAAATTTAACCCCAAAATAAATAATAATATATTAATATAAAAATGTAAGTAATACTATATATAACAAAGTATAATACTTATCTTAAAAATATATCTCTATAAAATAAATACAAAACAATTCATCACTAATTTCAACACATGTGCCATATTAATATGATGAATTAACCTCCAAAAGATTTGAGAAACTTCAAATTAATTTTCCCGATGAAGAAGAATAGTCTTAATAAATAAATGAGTTAAATCAATAAAAGCAAAAGTGTGTTTTAATTTGACAAGTGTCTACTTTCTTTTAACTGCCAAATAATTGAATCCTAATAGCCATAGAAACCGAAAGAAATTGAAACAAACAAAATGGACTTTCAACTATATCTTTTTGGCAATTACTTGACTGCATATTTTACTTACCATGTTTAATGGTTTTCTATATTTTTTCTCTCTACATTTTAATAATAGGTAAACATGTATATTTAATTTACATGTTATTTAATATGTTATTGAAGATCATTGATTTGTTAATATTGTAATTAAATCTTACAATTTATTAATATTTTTTAATTTTTATCTTTATTTTTCCCTTTTTCTTATTCATTTTTTTTCTCCTTTTGAATCCAAATAATTTTTTCACTGTATAATTTTTAAATAACTATTTATTTTTAATTTTTAAATATTAATTAAGGAGAATTCACTAAAATTATTTTAAGTTCTTAAATTTTAATTGAAAAAAATAAAATAAATATATAAATATATATTAAAAACCATACTTTGG